GCACCCAGGAGTGGTGAATTCTGACCTGGCTTTGGGTCTCCTGCAGGAGTAGCTGGATTTTCCCCGTCCGAGTGGGAAATCATTTTCTGCCCAGTGGGTCTCCTGCCGGAGCTTCAGGCTCTGCCTCAGTGGGCTCCAGGTCTTCCAGCTGACTCAGGGAAAGGCAGATACAGTGTTCTACGTGGAAGTAGATGTGTTATGCTCTGTGTGAGCCCAGGACAGGACCCTGGGGAGTAGCCTGGGTGGTGTCCCAGCCCAAGGCCTTTCCTGTTCACCTCTGGGCCCTGACTCTGGGGAACCCTCAGTGGCCACATTCAACAGGAGCCTATGCTGGCCCTCGGTGGCAGTATGGTGCATGGGCCCCGCACTTGGGAAGATGGATCGGGTGTCCCCATCAAGCAGTTCCTCACCGATCTCTGGGCTGGGGCTCTGCAATGACAGTGCAGCAGCTGGCCCTGCCCGGAGGCATCAGAGCCCTGCCAGGCCATCATCTTATCACTGCTTCTTCTGTCCACTTGACCTTCTGCTCTCAGGTCAGGTACAGACCTGTGTCTGCTCAGATAAACACCCAGGAGGTAAGACATACATCTGAAGGGCTTGGTATAAACCTCAGATAGAAGGGCACTGCCTGGGCTCTCTACATCCCACCCAGCCAGCTTGAACTGGGGTGTGGACATAATCGGCCCACCAGACTTCTTATCAGTCTGCTCTTACTTGAGGCAGACCCATCCCACATAAACCCTTACCAAACACACAGGGAGAGGACACAGAGCTACGCTGGTGGGATCACAGTGACGGCTCGGCCTAGGCTGGCCCGCCCTGCGCCGCCCTGTGTTATCTAATTGTTACTGGGGTATAGTTGATGTTTAATGTTGTATTAGTTTCAAGTGTATACCAAAGTGAATCTGCTATACATATACACACACACTCACTTTTTTTTAGATTTTTTCCCCACATATTCCCCATATATTACAGAGTACTGACTAGAGTTCCCTGTGCTATATGGTTAGGTCCTTATTAGTAATCTATTTTATATATAGTAGTGTGCATGTATCAGTCTCAATCTTGCAATTTATCCCTTTCTTCTTTACCCCCCAATAACCATAATTTTAACAACTATTTATTGGGTGACTAGTCTGTGCTGGGCACTTTTCTAGGTGCTAGTGAAACCAGTGAATAGGTAGACAAAATTTTTCTTTACTTTCTCTGGCAAGAAGTAGAGGGAGAATATATAATAAATATTTTAATCTTGAAACCAGTTAGTATTGTGAAGAAAACAAAACAAGGTAACAAAAAATACCCTAACTGAGGTGTTTATGCAATGACACTGAAGTAGGTAATGTCTGAACTATGATCTGAAAGATCAGAGTCAAGTCTTATGAAGATGTAGGGAAAAAATCTCCCGGACAGAAGGAAGAACAAGTCAATGGTGTGTTCAAAAGAAAGAAAGGCAGATGGTATGGATGGGGCAAACTGAATGAGGAAGAAAGTGGTGGGAAATGAGGTTAGTGAGGTGACCTGAGGCCAGATCATGTAAGTACTTCTGGGTCACAGTAAAGAGTTTGGACTTCTTGTTAAGTGTAAAGGAGAGCCCTTGGCAGTTTTGAGGTAGTTAAATATGGCAGCATCTGATTTACCCTTTAGAAATACTCACACTAGGTACCACACAGAGAAGGGAGTAGGGCATCTGGGGCATTGGGGAGAGAAGAAGAAGAACAAGTTGAAAGAAGAGGAAGGAAGACCAATTAGAGCTGATAACATAATCAAGGCAAGAAGCAGTCATGGCTAACGTTAGAAAAGGCAGATTAGGAAGTGCTTAGAAGAAAGCTATTTTACCGTTACAAGAGAGGAAGAAGGAGAAAAGCCCTGTTGAGAATTATAAATCTGGGTTATAATACACATTTACTTCAGTATAGTGATTTACTTCTTCAGTAGGGCCAATCCTTCAAATATTTAATCTGGTACATCAACCTGGATAGGGACAAAACCAGGGTTCTTGCTCCTTGTGGCCAGAAGAAACAAGATAAAAATAAAACAAATTCAAGAGTTCTGCAGGGGATGGTGTGGAGGGGGGGGATTGTTTTTTTAAAGGTCTATACTATTCTCTATTGGCTATTGCCAGGCTTTAGTTAAATAAGGATATAAAAACATTGGTTTTAAAGTTCTTTTTCTTACTGTTTTCCCTTGATTTCTCTGTAAAAACAGCTCTTAAAAAAGTCAATACTGTCTTGGTTAAATTAAGAGGAAATGATATTGTCTACATTTTGATTAGGACTGAAAGAATAAGTAAGTATACCTAATGATGGTGATGGTGACAACAGAGAGATCCAGAACAGTTCTAGAATTTACAAAGAGCTAGGGTAGAAAACAGAAAGGGACACTGAGAAGGCTCAGTAGAGCTCTCTGGCACTTGAGCATCCTTTAACAAGAGAGTTTCAAGAGAAATGGAGATAATCTGGCCATAAGCTGAACATGCAGAGTAAAAGATAATGAATGCTCAAAAGTAGAACCATCACTTTTAACATTTCCACTTTAAAAAAAAATCTCTATATATCTTTCAGTGACCAAAGAAGTAGTCTATCTTTTGGGGCAAGGGGTAAGAGTGCAAATGAAAAGAAAATGGTGGCTATAGGTACAGAATGGGACAAACATTTCAACAGGAGTAAACATCACATTTCTCAGTAGGATTATTGCATTAATATTTTAACAGCTTCTACTAAATATGATTACATATTGGGTGAACTCATAAATACGTCAGATCTGATTAGTGAACATGGAAGACAGGAAGGGGCAGATTTGTCAGCAGAAGGAAAGTTCACATTATAAATTTGACTGGTTTCTAATAACCAACAAGAAAAGCTTGCAATCACTCCAATTCTTTTAAATAAAACTCACCAGAAAATGAACTCAAAAATGCCCCAGTATAAATGATTAAAGACTGGACACGTAGCAATCTTTATTCCCCTCTTAATTATAGGAAAAGTCATATAAAAATATTTACCAAAGCCACAACAAAGCCATTTCTATTATTTCTGGATTTCTGAGGAAATTAAAGGGATAGGATAGTCACTTAACATTTTTAAGTTTCAAACAGGGGCTCTTGTTTCTGCAGTGGGTTCTCTCATGGAACTTCATAGCTTTCAGGGTGATAGGTTCTTTTGTTCTAAACCAAGGAGCTCACAGCAGTTTAATTTACTGCTGCATTATCATAGCTACTAACTACACACACCTCCAAGGCTGGTAAACCCACTGATGTAGATAGTGCCACCTTAAAAGGATTTTTGGATGGGTCTTAGTGATGAGGGGGAAAAAAGGACATAATGTTTAATTATAAGAAATGATTGAAATAGGCACAGACATACCCCGGGTGCCTCTGCACTGCAGCAAGCTCTAAACTTGTTATCGTTAATGGTTTAAATTTCACTGTGCTAATCATTTCAGGACACAAGCCTTTCTTGATAATCTAATGAATTATTCCAACATCTTTCAGCAAAAAAAAAAAAAAAATCCTCCATGACAGCACTAATTACAAGACATTTTCCCAGTGCTTATGTAAAATATGACAGAGCAGCAGCTTAGGGAATTGCAGAAAACTGCTTCTAATTTCCACTGAGAAACTGACAAACACCTCTCTTTCATCTCTCCCAGCTCTCAAGTAAGATTTAACTTTCTCATTTAGTTAATTACCGAGTGAGGATCATCATTTCCCCGGATCGGAGCGGCACAGAGCCTTTATCGTGTTAACTTGTGAACTTGATCGATGGCTGCTGCTAAAACTTAATAACTTCACCCCCTGGCAAATTGTAAGATAAATATAATAGGAGAAACTCTGACAGTAAAAACCTGCCAGAAATGAGCGCTGTGTTTATGTTTCTTTGCAGGCAGCAAAAAAAAAAAAATAAAAAACAACAACCGACAGCTTATTACTGGTTGCGTGTTACTTATATTTAAAAGACTCCAGGCAGTTAACTTTCTACATACTGTTAAAACTTTGCTCACAAGATGGGGAAAAATGAGAAAAAGCAGCAGTGATGCAGACTTGGGGAAATGAGGGAAGAAGAAAAAAAAAATAGGGAGAAGGGCAAAGCAAGGGAATATACTGTGTAAAATCTTTTAAAATGTCATGTTTATCATATAAAATGTTCAACCAGCACAAATAGGCATAAAATCCTTAAAAAATAATAAAACACTGTATGAACTATATCTAGGAGCAAAGCGAGAGAATTTCACTCACTCAGATTTTTTCAATGACCATAAGTCCATGCCTGAAGAATCCAATTAACTGTAGAATTCCTAGATCTCTTCTCAAAAACCCCTGCAGCTAGAAAACCATTTACTAACTACACCACTTAACCCTTTCTGAAACAAGTACACTATAGCTAGGAAATGCATAACTCTGTCTAGAGAACTTCATCTATTCTTACATTATCCACCTTCCACACCTCAGCTAGCCAATTGAGAAGCAAACAGTCTGGATTTTTTTTTTCCCCTTTTGGTCAAATTTGAATCTGAATTTGGAATTTTAACATTTAACTGAGCAAGTTGGTACCATGGCCTAGTACAGTATGAATTTTAAGCCTTTAATAACCAACGGTAGCAAGGAAAATAGTCAGGTATAAAAATGAGGTGTAACAATAATAGAATACCTGCTCATGAGTGTCAGTCCCCTCTATCCCTCAGGACTGAAAACAAATCTGTATGTAAATTGCTAAGTCTGTTATACTGACCACCCTCCCATTACAGAAATATTACCAATAAAACAAAATATGAACTAAATTCTAGGAAAAGTAGAGAAAGGCACAAAAGGTCTTACAGGACTTATGAGTTTAAACCTAACTTGTGAGATAGTTTTTAAAATCCATTATCTGATATGTTAGCCTCAAAAGCTGAAGGCTTCATGCTGCAATCAAGGGGCCACCATTTTGAAAGTTGAAAGGAAGACTGACATTAAAACAGCAAATTCACATTCAGCAGAGGATCAAATTTGATTCCTTTTTTTTTTTTGGTTTTTACTTTCTTTAAATAAGGATTATTGGGGTCAAGCAAAGAAAGACTGATTAAAAAAAAACAGCATTTATAACAAACTTTAGAAAATATGAAAAATACAGAAGCACAGAGAACACAAAAATGGCCCATAATTTCCATCATCAACAAATAATATGCACATTTTGGTGGGTATATATCTTTCTGGTCTAAATAAATTATTAGTGCATTATTTGATTGAGAGAGTGTTTCTATGTCACCTAGAGAATTCTCTCTCTATGACATCAAAGCAATCAGAGTAGGCAAAATTTATCTCCTTTGCTGAACACCTCAAAGAAGTCAAGATCTGATCCCATAGGATACAGAATTGTAAGTGACTGGAGGTGTAGGAAGCAGGGGATAGGAGGAAGAGGAGGAGAAAGGAGGGAGGGGGTGAGGAGGAGTGAGAAGGATGGGGAAGGGTGAGAAGAAAGGGAAGGGAAAGAGGGAGATGGCAGTGAGCAAGGAAGAGAGGAAAGGTGAACAAGGAGAGGGATGAAATTGACTGGGGATGGGTAGAGAGTGGGTAGGAGAGAGACGGGAAAGAAAAGAAAAGGTTAGGCATGGGTAGGAAGAAATGGCTAAGGGGAAAGAGGTCAGGGGCTAGGGAAGAGATGGAGGGAGAGACAGAAAGTAGGTATGAGATGAAGAGAGATGAGGGGAAAAGGAATAAATATAACCAAATGCAAAAGGGGCCTAGCATTACTAAGTTCACCTGCCCTAAGAAAAACAATATGCCTGTCAGGCGAAAAGGTCCTCTCCCACACAATAAACATCAAGAGGGAGAGGGGATGAAAAACTATTTTTCTAAACTGCTACTTAATGTTTCAGGCAGAGTAATAAAGTTTAACTGTCTGGAATCTTGTTGCTCTTTCTGTAAACTTCCTCAGATAGAGGTCGCTTATCTGGATGTTAAATAATGTTAATAAGTACCAAAATAAAATTCCTGTGATGGAGAAAGTTTTAACTAAGAGTCTTCTCCCTGACTTCCCCCTCATATCCTCCCTTTATTTTAACATCAGAAAGCTAAGTTCTACCAATAAATAACACGGAATGACAGAGGCACTGGCTGCCAGAGAGAAACACAGAGACACACTTAAAATGCAATTAAAAAGGACACAGGAAAATACAGTTAATTTAAAATAAAGAAGAAAAAACTATCCTCTTCCTCTTTGTGCACTAATCCTTTACATTTTTTTGTCCAATAAAAAGGTCTCAATGACTTGGTAAAACTTGCTCCTGAAGAAAGCCTTTGAGAAGTTACATCCAAAACCTGGATTAAGAAAATACAAGGCTTTTTGGGATAGGATCTCAAGAAACCAACTCAGCTTTCTAGAAGAAATTCAACTCCTTCCAAATGCTTGTTAATGCATGCTAAATGCAGCAAGAAATAATCCTACGAGGCAGCAGCACAGGCCTCTCTTAGCTGCAGTGAATGAAGTAAATGACTTGTAACTTCTGGAAGTCTTGGTTATCTGCAGGTAAAACTTTAATAACCCTTGGAGCATCAAGGGACAAAAGACATTTCTCTCTGGAATACGTGGGTAATTGTCTTCTTAATTTATCCAGAAAAGGCTTAGTTTGGATGCAGCATCTGCTTTTTTTTTTTGTTAAGCAGAGGTGATCAAAATAACTTGCTCAAATTCACAGAAGTTACTAGATTTCAGACCAGACTGCAAAATGCAGTTGTTGTGTTAAGTGTATAGTTTTTCTAAACTGATATTTTGGACCTTCTCTTACCAATAAGAATGCTACTATCACTACATTGATGCTTTGTCAGTAAATACTCTAATCCACAGTTTTCTAAGATTAGTTTCAACATTTTAATGTAAAAAAATACATAAAATATTACTATGTAAAAATTCAAGAATGAGAGTAAAATTACTTACAATGAGTGACATTTAACAATTGGGGAAGATTGGAAAGAGCAAAAGAAAGACTTCGAAATATGTTTCATGATATGAAATAAAAGACATTTGAACATTGACTTTTTTTTTCATTTTCAATCTTTCAGAACAATTGCCAAAACACTCCCACAACACTCAAATCTAGTGAGGGAAAAACAATAAGGAAGTTATTAGCATGGTAACAAGATTCTCAACACAGTACCCTAATTTTGAAAATTCACTTTTCTGATTTCTACAGTAAATACAGGATGATTCCTCCATCCTGTAGGGTATAGAGTACCTTTTGCTTCCTTTAGACTTTGTACTTCATTTTAGTCATCAGCCAAGAGAGAGAGGGCAGAAACCAGACTGAAATTCCAGCTGTCAACAGCACTTATCCTCCTTTTTTTTCAAAAATTAGCAGAAAAACGATTACTCTGTGATTTTTGTCTGAAGGTTATTTATATTTCCCCCACATGGGTACTATTTTTGTGGGGTTTCATGGGCCAGAGACTGCAGATTTTTGGTGTTCTGGAGAAAATACTGAATCTTGAGTGTCACAAAAAATTTTCTTTTTCTAAACGGAACAAATCTCTACCAGGGATTTTGCGTTTGTTTACTAAGAGTGGAGGTGGGATGAGAAAATGAAAATCAGGAAGATAGTTACTTCCACACTGTTTACAAGCTTGTTTAAGAAATAGAACTGTGGTCTTTTCTTTGCAAAACTTGGCTTTTCTTAAAGGATGAAATAGTTTATATAAAGACACTTCCTGGTTTACTACCCAATTTTTCACTTCACCTAGGTGTGGCTTAAGCTCACATGCAGCACTATAAATATGAAACGCAAGGATAACAACTTTTTTCAGTGAAGTTTTCCTACGAGCCAAATGCAGTCTACTTCCAATTTCTGTTTAAGGAATAAACAGAGGCTTTGGAAATTTCATGCTTTGGAAACAAACCACTACAAAAAGTTCTCTTATAGTTGAGTCACATGTAAACGGCAAAAGTTAGACAGCACGGTGGCCTAGTCCCATCACTAATTAGCTATGTAATCTTGGCTAAGTCTCTACTGTTTGGGATCTCCTCTATAAAATGAGTGGGTGGATGGAATAATCTGAGGCTCAGTCTGGCTTTTATATTTTGAGTTTACGGTTCAGTTCCATGTAAATTAAAATAGAGCTGAGGGAATACATTTACAAAGAGAATCATTCTTCACATTTTCTTACTAAAAAACTAACATATCAGAGTTTAGGAACACACACCTCAAGCAAAAAGAAGTATTCTTCATAATATTATTCAGTCAAGCAATATATTCCAAAATCCCAAGAGTAAGTCAAACTTTCCTGCAACAATTGAGCTTTTAATGCAAAGAAATGCTATCATTCTGAATGTGACTGTTACACAGGTAACCTTATTATTCTTTTACTTTACTGGAGGCTAAAATATTCCATAGTTAAGAATTTAAAACTTTATGGTGTAACTTTTCTCAGGGCTGACACAGATGTGAAGACTTAATGATATCGTGACACTTTGTGTCTCAATGTGCCTCATTTCTTTCATAATTCACTCTCTTATTTCCCCATCCATCTTCCTCTATGCTGCTGCTAAGTTGCTTCAGTCGTGTCTGACTCTGTGCGACCCCACAGACGGCAGCCCACCAGGCTCCTCTGTCCCTGGGATTCTCCAGGCAAGAACACAGGAGTGGGTTGCCATTTCCTTCTCCAGTGCATGCATGCATGCATGCATGCATGCTGAGTTGCTTCAGTCGTGTCTGACTCTGTGCGACCCCATGGACAGTAGCCCACCAGGCTCCTCTGTCCACAGGATTCTCCAGGCAAGAATACTGGAATGGGTTGCCATTTCCTTCTCCATCTTCCTCTATAGTTCCTGGTATTTAAGGTGTTCAAGAAAATTGTAAAGAAATAAATGTACCTATTAAAAATTCCTTTATTTCACAAGGAGATAAAATATTTTATCAATTTAATACATCAGTTTGTCTCATTTAGGGCCAAATCAAAATAGTAGGGTTACATGAAGAGTCTGCAAATAGATATGAAAAAATTACTGGGATCCTCTTAATGCTTTCTATCAAGATTATAGTGGTCATGATCTGATGGCTGCTGCTCTCTGCTGGTTTAATTTTCAGCCTTATAGCCCACAGCCGGCTCTACCTGAGACACCTTTTTCTGTCAGATTCCAAAGGCCATCAAGTGTCCTCAAGGACAAAGTGATATATTAGCTGCTGTAATAAAGGAAGCTATGTATAAAACACTAAGCACAGGGTCTGGCACATAAATGCCTAATGAAGGTAATTGTTACCATTTGCTGGTATGTAGAGACCATCTCAGCAATTCAGCCTGTATCAGGACCTGCCCGTCAAACTTTGAAAGTAAAATTTTAACTGAAACTCCATACCAAATTCCCCAGGAAAGGGAAATATGAATTGGAATATTTTAAAATATGCTAACTTGTCTGGCCACCATTAGCTGATGTGATTGGGGATAGAACTGTGAAGAAAAAAAGAAAATTTAAGATGTGATTAGACTGTAAGAACAGCTCAAAGGCTCTGGGTGAGAAAACTACAACTTAGGGAATTTTTGTGTGTACTGAGTTATCTCATTTAAACAAATATATTGAGGACTTCCTATGTGTAAGTGCCTAATGGAACTCTCATTAACTGCTGGAGAGAGTATAAATTGGTACCACCAGTCAGGAAATTCTAATTTCCCTCCTAGTGACACACACAACAGAATACATGTATTCATTGCACATACTGACCAAAAGATAAATACCAAAAAATTCTGCAGTTATCAAAATCTGAATGGACACATATATTTGGTATATATACATAATGACATACTACACATCAACGAAAATAAATAAATTACAGCTATATGCAATAATATGATTCTCAAAAACATTACGTTTAGGGAAGTAAGTTAGACAGTAAAGAATATACACTGTATGACTCCATTCACACAAAGTTCAAAGCCAGGCAAAACTAACACATGATGTTAAGCAGTGAGGAGAATGGCTAGCCTTGGGAGGGGAATGACAAAGAAGGCAGGAATGGGTTTCTGGTACGGGTTTTTTCCTTTCCTCCTCTTCCTTTTTTTAATCTTGCTAGTGGTTACACAGATATGTTCACTTTGTGAAAATTTGCTCAGCCAAACTCAGGGTTCTCCTGAATACTGTATTGGAAACAACTTATTGTATTCATAAAAAGAGAAATAAGGGTGGATAAAGTCCTGTTTGGTTACAGATACATAGCCCTAACCCTTATTTTCTGATATAAAGGAAACAGGGAGTTCTATAAAAAAGATTTTTTTTTTTCCTATAAAAAAGATTTACAATTTTGCCAAGGCACAGCTTTAGCCTCTATTTTCACTTACGACCCTTTGGCCACATACAGACAACTGTTCCCATATGCCACTACTCTGAACAAGGTTAGAGCTCCCTCTAGCACTTTTAACTAAGGAAACATCACAGGCCCTTACAGAGCTGACACAGTTTGGTGCTGCCCACGGTTAAATGCAATATGGCGATTTTTATTTTTAATTTGCTTTAATTGTTGCTATGGTATGAATAATTAATAGGCTGCCTAAGCCAGTTTTGTAAAGTTCATAATACAGAAAGCCAGGAGAGAAATATCTACTTAGAAAGGAGGCTTAAAAATGGTTATAACTGCTATAATATTAGAGAATTTGGAGCATTTATTCATAATTTGTGGCAACATTTATGTCTCACCAACAAAGAAGCATGCTACCAAGCACTTCCTACTAAAAAATTCTTCTAATCTTCATCAATTTTTCTCTTCATGGCTTCACAACCATTGTATGTATAGTACCAGATAAGAGCAAAGTAGGTCAGTGTTAGGAGAACCCTGCTCTTCAGTGGAGGAGAAGAGGAAGGTTTGGCTGTAAACACTTAACCCAGTTCCATCCATTCTAAAACAAGTATTTATTAGCATTAAATAACCCCCTGGACAATAGAGGCTATTCAAATTAGCCTGTATTCTTTTCCCATGCTTGTAAACTCCCTTCTCCACAGAAATCTTAACCAATGGAAATTATGTTATCAATGTTTCCACTCAGGAATGTCTGTTTCATGTTTGGATATGCCAGAAAGTATAATTTAGTTATGATGTTGCAATCCTACACATTTCAGGCAGAATTTGAGCAGTCTCTGAAAGTTCAATGATAATAATACACACCATCTGGGAATGTAGCCAGAAATAAAAGGGGCTTCATTTTTCATTGTTGGATTTTAAATCTTCCCCTCCCTGAAAGAAACACTGTTTATCAACACTCTGGTTAAAATTAATACACATAGAAAACCAGTTAATTAATAAGTTCCTTGAATCAAGGAGAGAATTAAAAATAGAGAATATAAAGAATTATCTTAAAGTATACTCATTTTAGCCAAGACTATTATGTGTTATTCATTATCCTGCATACTAAAGTTAAGAAACAACATTTTTGAGCTATAATAAGAAATATTTCCTATAAACCTTTTTTTAGCATACAGATCTCTCAAAAAGTATGTCTAAAATCATAGGAAACTTTAGCAATTTCCAAGGGAAATTTTTATCATTT